AATTGATATTTAGTGATTAGTTGTTTGCATGTGGACAGATATTTGTTGTTGAATTGTTGACAAAAGAATGCAATTTTAATATACTTTTAAGATTTTTTTTGTTCACAAAATTTATTTTTAAGATTAATTTTCCAAATTTCCTCCTTGAAAGTAACCTCATACTCTCTGTTTCCCTTTCATCTTATCATTCAATAACAAAGCGTTAAAAAAAAAAAAAAGTAACACCTGCTAGTCGCGTTTTGTAAGGTACCCGAATTAGAAACAAAAGGCGTTTGCGTTTGCGTGTAATATTATCGGACCTGAAATTGACCCGGCCCATTTTAAATTAACCCGACCCGCAACCAAACCAGATATCAATTAGAGCCTTGTAGTCAGTTTAGTCATCACTCTCTTTCGAAAAAAAAATCCCCAAATTTCGGAAGGATAAGAGCCGGAAAGTTCCTCGCCGGTGACGGAGTTAGGGTTTCGTTTTCATCATCCCAAAATCGAAACAAGAAATGGCTCATGCTTGCGTCTCTACATCGGCTTCTTCTCTCAGATTTAGAGCTGGATTCGTCTCCGCAAGTCCCAATGGCTCCTCTTTCGATTCTCCGAAGCTTTCTCTCCCTTTCGAGCCCCTTCGTTTAAGGTAAGAACCATTTTTTTTTTCAGTTTGATTTCTCTTCGAATCTTATGGTTTAATTTAGGGATTTTGAGGAACTGGAGGAATTTTGGTTTGCAGGAAGACGAAGAAGTTAGTTAGCGAAAGAAAGAATTGGAAGAACTCATCTCCGAAGGCTGTGTATTCCGGCAATCTCTGGACGCCGGAGATTCCATCTCCTCAGGGAGTTTGGTCCATAAGGTATGAAACTTGAGTTTTTATCGATTGTTCTTGCAATTGATGATTGTGAAGTCTTTTCGATGGTTACTATGCAGAGATGATTTACAAGTCCCTTCTTCGCCGTATTTTCCTGCGTATGCTCAAGGACAAGGACCACCTCCTATGGTGCAAGAGCGTTTCCAGAGTATCATTAGCCAGCTCTTCCAATATGTAAGATTATCATCAAGTTTAAGGTTATCATCAAGTTTCTAGCTCAGTCTTCTTGATATGTAAGAATTGGTTTCTTTTGTTTTGAACTTTAGAGGATTATTCGTTGTGGTGGTGCTGTGGATGATGATATGGCAAACATAATCGTAGCTCAGCTTCTGTACCTTGATGCTGTTGATCCTACCAAGGTCAGATATTGTATAATTCAAGTTTATGTCTTGTTCCTTGATGTTTTCATAGGATTCTGATGATGTTTATGGTTAACAGGATATTGTCATGTATGTGAATTCTCCTGGTGGATCAGTTACAGCTGGTAATAACACTTTGTTAGCTTACATGTTTCCCTTCTGACCAGTTAAAGTTTCTCTTTTCTATCATTTTTTCCGGTTTTCATTGTTAGTGACTCTTGTATCTCTCGCTTTCCCCAGGCATGGCTGTCTTCGATACTATGAGGCATATCCGGCCTGACGTGTCCACTGTTTGTGTTGGTCTAGCTGCTAGGTGAAACTTTCACCCATCCTTCTTCTCTCATTTACGCATTGTTTTTTTGGGGGTTCTTGGTAAATTAATAGGTTTTTGTCCAGTTTTTAACTTCAATTTTTAGTTTGGTTTGCTGATCTTCTTGTTGGATACATGACCAAAACTCGAACTCATAGCATTTCTCGAAACCAAAATCTTTTTAAATGTGGGTTTGTATGGATTATAACACCCTGGTCGTCTTCTGTGTCAATTTTTAATGAACAGTATGGGAGCTTTTCTGCTTAGTGCTGGAACCAAAGGTAGTTTCTCTTATTCCTTTCATTCATAAGTAAAAGCTTTTAGATAAGTGTATTCTTCTCAATTTCCTGGTGCGTGCTTTAGCTTTATTTGTATTATGTAACTTTAGGAAAAAGATACAGTCTACCAAACTCAAGGATTATGATCCATCAGCCTCTTGGCGGAGCGCAAGGTGGTCAAACCGATATCGACATTCAGGTCATTCATCAACGCCTTCTTATTGCGATCTCGTTCCAGTCTTTGTCTTTAAGTTTTTGCAAGGACTAGATTGAGTTGAATATATCAATTCACTTTCAAACCTAACCGTACAAGTTCATGGTCTGAAACCAGGCAAATGAAATGCTGCATCACAAGGCAAACCTAAACGGTTACCTCGCGTACCACACTGGTCAAAGCCTAGAGAAGATAAACCAGGACACAGACCGCGATTTCTTCATGAGTGCTAAAGAAGCAAAAGAGTACGGGCTTATCGACGGTGTCATCATGAACCCTCTTAAAGCTCTCCAGCCACTTGCAGCAGCTTAATCAGCCTGTAGGTAATGGTTCTCAGCTTAGCAACTCTTTCCTTTGGCCTTCTATGAACTGTGAGATTTTCTATTAAATGTGCTTTTATTCTCTAGAAGGATCAAAATCAATAGCTGATACATACATGAAGAACAAAGTAAAAAGTTTCTTGCTCTGCTGTTTTATTGAAACAAGATTGATCTTTAAGGAGCGCAATGTTTTGATCCTCCATAATCGAAGAAGTATTAGACTGTTAATAATGGAGAGAAGACTACCAATTTGACTTTTTTTCAAACTGAAAGTTACAACTCCACTAGTCTTAATCCTGAGTTTGTCAATTTTTTAACACAAGTATTGATTGATAACTAACTTTTCTATTGAGTTATTACCTGTCACTCAAGACCTTATCCTCTTTTTCCCAAAAAAAGGAAATGTTTGAGTATTATACACACGTATTTACGATCTAATTAAAAAAGTTAGATATCGAGGAAGTTTATCCATGTAATGGTCGAACACTAAGAGATATGTTGGTGGGTACGTCGGATGCATAATGGTCAAAGTCCATTGGCATATTATTTTGAATTTAAAATTGTTATCAACTTGTAGTAACCATTATTTTATAATACGAATTTTAGCTTAAAGTATATAGCATTATTTTCATAACTATTATTTTATCAAAGAAATTATTAACAAACTAGAGTATTATCCATCGGCCGGCTATGTTCATCGATGATCATACATATGAAAATTTGTGGGTTTTTTTCCATTAGGAAAAATAATTACATACAAAAGATTTTTTTCAAAAGAGAATATAAAAGGAACGTTTGACGACTACAAACGTGGCTGCCAAACACACTTGCTTGAAAAGCTTTTATATATAAATCTCTCTTACATCCTCTGTTTCTTCTCATCCAAGCAACAGTGTCTTCCCATT